GTTCGATTACGGTCAAGGAATGTGCCTTGGTTGCGGGCACATCCTCGGTAGGGAGTGTGTAGGAGGTGGCTGATGGATGTCTCTCTCTCTCATCGATGTTTCTAACTCTCTATCCCTCTACCTTCCTCTCTGTAAAAAATCAATAAAATATATATATTTTTAAAAGAATTGCATATTGAGAAAAAATAAAATCTTTAAACTTCACTAATGTCTACAAACCTTGTTTTTTCCCTTCAGTTCTCTGGATTTCCCCTCCACATGCCCTATTCTGAGCTGAAGCCTCTAATTGAAGCTGTGTATAGCACGGGAGTGCATAATATTGATGTTCCTAATGTTGAATTTGCTTTAGCTGTATATATCCACCCATATCCCAAAAATGTTTTGTCTGTTTGGATCTATGTTGCCTCCCTTATACGTAACAGGTAATTTTTTTATTGTATACTTTTTATATCATGTAAAATTGTAATTAGGACATGAGAATATTTTTAAGTGATATTGATCAATTACATCAGAAGAAGATATAATTTTCAAATGAAATAAAAATTTCAAATTGTACCAAAAAAAGTGTTATTCATTAGTCGGCCTTGTCTCTGCCACTCTGACTCTAAATTCAGTGGCCCTCACAGTTCCCCCATCACACTGTGAGCTTCATACCACCATGCTTTTGTGTTTGCTCACCTACCTGCCCTTCTTTGCCTGTCTAGCAGACAATAAATCATACTTTTAAGACCCAGTAAAACACAACTTTTCTCACGGAAGGAGGAACAACATTGCAATATATTCTTTTTAACGCTGAATACGTCCTAAGACCATACTCTACAAAAATACTGAGCAACTAGACACATGCATACCCATGCACTTATATATACAACACATGTACACCCATTGGATATAGTATTTTATGGGAGAAAGAGGAATGTTTTTAAATATTTAACAAAAGGGTAGTTATAAAAATTAAGACTTGCAATGATTTTTTAAAAGGGTATGATTTTATCCTAATTGTTTTTCATTGCTAAGAAATCCTCATTAATAGACAATACATCTTCTCTTACTGCCTGTTGGTAGTGCGGAGTGTTCACAGCTGAGTAAGAAAACCTAGCAAGCAATCTCAAACGGAGGCAGTATGTCTTGCTGGACATACAGGGTGAAGCTGGACATTTAATTCCAGTCACTAAGTTAGCCTCCACCACCCCCCAGTTCCTATTTTGAAGTGGTATTTTGGTACCCCTGTGAATGGTATTTGGAGATGGGGCCTTTGGGAAATACCTGGGTCAAGAGTGGAGCCCTTAAGAAGGGATTAGTGCCTTTGTCAGACAGTGAGAGCTTGCTCCACTCTCAAGGCTGTGTGGATACAGTTGAAGATGGCTGTCTGCAAACCATAATGAGAGCCCTCACCAGAAACCAGGTCAGCTAAGCCAGCACCTTGACCATGGACTTCCCAGCCTCCAGAACTGAGAAATGTCACTGAAGTCCATCAGTCTATGGCATTCTGTTATAGCAGCCCAAATTGACTAAGACAGACAATACAGATACTATACTAAGCCACTGAAGAGTATCAGAAATGTACCCACAATAGAAACCCATAAAGCAGACTTCTCAACAGCAGCACTGTTGACGGTTTGGGCCATGTTATTTGCTGGGAGCTGTCCTGTGCACTGTAGGAATGTTGAGCAGCATCCATGCCTGTCTTGACCCACTAGATTCCAGGTGCAGCCCTCCCCTCTGCCAAATGGTGATAACATTTCCAGACGTTGCTGGGATGTTCTTTATGATATAAATGGGCTCCAGTTGTGAACAACTGATGTACCTGGAATAGGATCTCACTTCTAAACAAAGACAGAGGGATCAAATTCAGGAAAAACATTCACCTTTAGCTATATTCCTCTGTCAAATTATGTTACATGATGTGTTTACATGCCTCTGATACTATGACCTCTTCAAGGGAGAGTTCAAGGACTGACCCTTAACAGTCACTATCAGTGTAACAACATAGACAGAATGGCATAGTGGTGAAGAGCATGAACTCTAGAGAAATCCTAGTTCTGCCACTGCTGCCAGGGAATCTGTGGACAAGTTATTTAACTTGTTACTTATTTTCCCCACATAAAAGATGGTGGTAATTACATTACCTGCTTCATCACGCTGCTCTAACACATAATTCGGTAGATAGTAGCTGACCCTCAAACAACACAATGATTGGGTCACCAACTCCCTTCTCCCCGCACAAAAGAAAATTCACATGCAACGTTTGATTTCCAAAAACTTAGTTGTCCCTCGGTATTCCTGGGGGATTGGTTTGAGGGCAACTCCACAGATACCTAAGTCCAAATGTTCAAATTCCCTATATAAAATGGGGTACATCATTGCACAACTGGCATTTATAGACTTCCAAATGGAGATCAAAATTTCCAGGAATTTATTGAAAAAATCCATGTAGCCGAAACTGGTTTGGCTCAGTGGTAGAGCGTCGGTCTGCGGAATGAAAGGTCCTGGGTTCGATTCCGGTCAAGGGCATGTACCTTGGTTGCGGGCGCATCCCCGGTGGGGGGTGTGCAGGAGGCAGCTGGTCGATGTTTCTCTATCTCTCTCCCTTCCTTTCTGTAAAAAATCAATAAAATATATTAAAAAGGAAAAAAAAAAAAAAAACCAATCCATGTAAAAGTGGACCCATGCAGTTGAAACCCAAGATGTTCAAGATTCAAATGTCCTTAGGGCACTGCCCAGCACTGAGCCTGATGTCTGTCAGAAACCACAAGGTACTTTACATTATATTCTAAGAATGAAGTTTCAATAGTTCATGAAATCATTCATAAAACCCAAGATCAATTCAAACCAAGTGTATATAGTATATTATTATTAACCATCCCTTTAAGTTAATTATGGAACAGCAACAATGTATAAAAATGAAATGCACACTGCTATCTCCCCATGCAACTGGAGACAGCAGAAAAACAGTTCCCACATGACCAGTGCCAAAGTGAAGTCAGTTTGATTCAAGCTTGCCCAGTCCTACTGAATGGTTTGCTTTAACATCAAGCAACATAGGACAAAGCAAAAGGGAGACACCTCAATTACCTGGAACCCCTGGGGAAATTAGCTGCTCAGATTAATTAATTTAAAAGGATAATAATTAGAGCCAAGTCCTGACACACCATTTAATCATGATTTTTTTAAAGTATTTATCATAAACCCCCTGACTCCCCTCCAAAAAAAACAAAAGCAAAAACAAAACAAAACAGTATACTGTCTCCTGCATATAAGGGAGAGAAACTTCAGTGCTGCCTTGGTAACCCTGGGCATGGTTATAGATGAGTAATGTTACCACACAGTTCACATAACTACAGATAAGACTAAGGACAGGGTGGGATGGCACTCACTGAAGAAAAATTCTTGTAGTTTGTTTTCTTGAAATAATCTCCAATGTCAACTATTCAAATAAATTTTATTAAACATTTAGAGGAAAAAAAATATACTATGAAACAGTCAACCTTACAAAATAAAACTTCTGACCCTGAAACTGTTCAATAAGCTCATTTCAAGTCCTCTAAGGGAATCAAGTAGTAGTAGCTTAGGCCAGACTAAAGGACAAAGCAAGGCATAAGCAGTATCGCATAACTGCTTAAGTTTAAGAGCTACAAACTCAAAAAGAAAGATGGTCACCTTACACTAAGCTGCCTTGCAAGTAACTTGTGGTAGGTCCAACATTTATTTTGCAATTGTTAACAGGAATGGAATTTCGAAGTCTTTGATATCTACCCTTTAAAACTGATCTTCCCTCAGGGTATTTAATTCAAATGTTAGTAAAATTTACAAGCATGTGTAAATTCTCCTTATTTATATGCCCATCAAGTGATTCTTCTTTCACCTTTAGAAAACACTGTCTAAGATAAAGTTTTCTCTTAGCCTAAAGTTTCTCTCCTACATCTTCTATCCCCCAATAAAACAAACAATACACGGATCCACAAACAGGACTACAAGACTACTTCCTCTTTCACAGTGTTTGGAAGATTTATTGGCATAGAATTTCATATAGAGTTATATAAAATTGACTCAGTATGCAGCTTTCTGAATTGTAGATCTCCACTCCCATTACACAGCAATTCAAATTTTGACTACTGCATAATTAATTAAAAATAAAAACACCAATTCAGCTCAACAAAATTAGGTATCTGTCCAAAACTGCTTATCAAGGTCAGGATTTCATGGGAGCTAAAATATTTAGTCCTATTTTACCCCCAAGAAAACCTGAAATGAGATTTATAATGAAATCAAGACACTTGGTAAAGTCCTCAAAGTAGATTTTATTTATACATTTCTTCAAATGATTGTAGAATTTTTAAAAATCCCTCCCAAATTTGACAATTTAGGAACAGTGGTGGGAACTAGGGTTTTTTGAAGAAAGCAAATACAAATAAATTGGTGCTTTGCTAGCTCACTGAGCAACTGCCAAGAAGCCAATTTATTCTCTAATCTGAAAGAACTTGTATGTGGGTATGTCTGAATTGGCCCTCTGAGAATTGTTCAAATAAAGGAAACATTATGGAAAGCAGGTTGGTTTCCAAAGTGTGCTTGCTCTCTTTGAAAATAAAACTTCAGAAGTGTATGTTTGAAAGATCTGCAAAGCTTGGTACAGTGTTTATATAGACGGAGAACCAATAGGCCCCACTGACTTTAAAACTCAAAACAATCTAAAAAATACTTTGAATGGCAAGGCATTAGTGACATTATTTTCAAAGCATTCGATTTAAAAGAAATCTGATAAAACTGTTCTCATCCTCATGAAAAGACTGAATTCCTTTCTAAAACAAAAATGTGATCTGCAAGCGATACAACACTGTACGATTCATGGGTAAATTTTAAGATTTCTGAGGGTGTCAGGATAAGGCCAAAACAAGTCACACTCAAAAAGGATGGTTAACACAAGAAATGTGCTACAAGTAAAGTGCATGAAAGGAAGCCTGCTCAGCTAAATTAAGTAGACAAAGGTCAGAAGTCAAGGGTCATTCGCCAGAGCGGCAGCAGGCTCGAAAACCACACTGCAAATTCTGGCATCCGCTGGCAGTATCAGCATGAGGACCTGTATAAAAACAGAGAAGTGTGAAAAGAGGAATTTCTTAAGAACCACATAAAAATAATCTAGCTTTTATAAAAGAGCTTAACACATTTTTTTTTTACCATCAAGAAATGCATTTATAATATAAAAGTAAAATCTCACGAGTGTACAAAAATTTATTCTGACACAAACATTGCCAATAGTTTGACTTTAATGTATCCATCCTTCGTGGTCCAAAAGCTAAAGGAAAGAAGGGAAATAATATTTTGGCAATATTCTTACAAAATAAAAATGTAAGAAGAAAAAGAGATAACCCACAGACAAGGCTGACAGGCTAGCTTAACAGTTTTCTTATACTCTGAACATCCTTCTGGAAATATAATAAAGGGAAACACAGCCTTATCTGTAATAGATCAGCTAAAGTATCTAATATTAAACAATTATAATAAACATATCCAAAAATTTCAAAAACTGTGTAAATATAGGTTTAACATGTTTGTCATATTTTTATCTAACATCTGCAGACAAAATAAATCATATGATTAGTTTAAGTGAAATTATCTTCCAGAATTAAGTACATAATGAGTGCTTAACTAAATAAACACATTAACACATAAAAAATGGAATTCGATTACAAAGAACAGTAAAAACACTTGTGGAATAGCTGACATTTTATCACAGCCACATTATGCTACCCAAACACTAGATAAAAAGACCATTAGGAAACATAGCTGTGATTTAGGGAATGTCAAAAAGAGGTATCATAGAACATATCCAAATGTTAATTACTTTGAATGAATCAGTTTCATAAAGGCAGGAAAATTCGGAAAAGGATGTCTTAACTATATTGAAGCCTGTCAGTATATTTGCACTATGAACAAATAAAGAGTAGTTAATAGTTCTTTAATAATCAATCAAAACCAAAATATTTGCAATTGTGATATGTAAGGATCATAGGAAAAGTACATGAAGTGTAATTTTATTATAGACTTTGTCAAAGGGTTATAATTGAATTATTTCAGTGCTCTGGATTGACATTTAGCTTAACCAGAAACATATTTTAAATTAGCTTTGTTTTGTTTTTTAAAATAGTGACCTACTGTGAAAGGCCACAGTATGCTATTACCAACCTAAGAGAATAACTACATGCAACTGGACAAGCAGCACACACTTATTTCCCAGAATCTAACTTTTCCTCGTATCCCTGAAATGGCATATACAAAATAAAAAGGGCAAATTTCTTAGGATATGTAATCAATGAAGCATAATGTTCATATATTTCACTACTGAAATGATAATGTATCTTTAAGTAAAAAAAAGCAAATAAACTTTACAAACATGTGGAAATGCAATAGTTTGTCATTTCATTTACTTTCACTTATGTTTAACTTTAGAATAGATGTGGTGCCTGGTGCAGGTATAAAAATGGGCAACGGTATATGAAAGATATTGGGCACAGGTTTATAATTGCTGAAGTCAGTGATACACAAATGCTCATTATATCAGTCCATATTCATAGGTTTAAATTTTTCTAAATCTAAATTTTTTAATCTAAAATTATTTCAAATATAAAACTGAATTACCACATGCCCATTTTCATTTAACCAAAATTAGAATCTCTTCTATTTTTAAAATGAGAAGTTGAATGTATCAAATATTTAAAATTCACAAAGTAGGACTTTTGTTAGGATTAGTTTTCCTTAAAATAAGACACAAGGTTAGTCATCTTAACCAAAATCAAAATCAAATTTCTTAGTACATATTATCAAGTATTAGAAATGCCCAGATAAGGAATCTGATAGTTTGAAATTCTTCTCCCATTGTCAATCTTTCCCCTGGTTTTCCAGAAGCTGATACATTTTCAGCTTCTACTTTATAACACCACCCAACTCTCCATGCCACCCCTTCTTGTCTTGCCTCACTATCCTCATCCTCCTCTGGTTATTCTCCTGTCTACCAATCACCCAGTGCCTTTCTTCAAACCCAATCATTGATTAGGGCATATGCCTGGATTGTAGGCTTAATCCCTGATAGGGGGCTGGAGACAATCAATTAAAGTTTCTCTCTCATCAATGTTTCTATCTCTCTCTTTCCCTTCCCCCTCTCTCTAAAACATATTTTATTAAAAAAAAAGATCCAATCCAACAACCTGCTCTGACACTTAGTACCTGTGATGAAAAGCTTGAACTGGTGGATTTTGCAAAATTTCTGATTATCATTTTCTCAATATGTAATTCTATTCTAAATTTCTAAAAAAAAAAAAAAAAAAGGAGAAATAAAAGGAAAGAGACATGGAAACTTCACATTATTCTCCAAACTAAAATCCTTCCTAAAATACTTCACCGCAATGCCTTTATTGTGAATTCAATAGTGACCTAGAAAAAAAGCATCATAAACAATGACTGAAAGCAATGAAAAGTGAGGTCTGCTATAGGTTTTCAAGGGAGAAAATAAAGGGGAGCCTTCAAAGGAGCTAACTGGACTGAGGAAGCTATTCTAAAGATCCCTACCTTTCCAAATGCCACACAGGCTTTTACCATCCACTCCAAAGACTGAGGGGCTCAGCAGCCTCAGTCTCCACACGGGGTCACTCTTTGCTCTTAAAGGCTACGGGACTGGTGTAGGAATAGTAGTGAGAGAAGATATTTGCTAGACAATAACCCAATCTTATTGTCAACTTCTCCTTATTCATCACAAAGCAAAGTTCTCACACTGATGTAAAATGTGCCCCTCCCTCAAATATTTTCACTAGAATATCTAGTGGGATTCTAAGTAAATAGAGGAAATTAATATGTCAGTGTTTTCGATGTTAAGGAAGCGTATGGGAACGTAAACAATAACTGTAACAGTAACTGCAATCCCACCATAAGGTCAATGGCAGAACAGGTGCCTGGTCCTAACAATCCATCAAAGCGATGCCATCCATGAAGAGACTGTACGCTGTTGATGGCCTAGGGCCATGGTCGGCAAACTACGGCTCTCAAGGCACATGCAGCTCTTTGGCCCCTTGAGTGTGGCTCTTCCACAAAATACCACAGCCTGGGCGAGTCTATTTTTAAGAAGTGGCGTTAGAAGAAGTTTAAGTTTTAAAAATTTGATTCTCACAAGAAATTTCAATCGTCGTACTGTTGATATTTGGCTCTGTTGACTAATGAGTTTGCCGACCACTGGCCTAGGGCAAAGCAAAATTGAAGACAACCGCCATCTTTAACTTGGGTTAGTATCATATTGTAGGAAAATGGGAGAGTGACAATTTCCAAAGCCTGGAAATAGTAAGCAATGTTAACAGTAAGACCTGTAAGCATCACAGAAGGACTGTTCAGAAAGAGAATAAATGGACAACAGAAAAAGTGAAGCAGCACTGAAAAAAAATATGACTAAGATATGTTATGTTAGCTGTAGTTATTTACCCAAACTTTTTATTGAGTGATTTGTTTTTCCCTGATATTAAACATCTTACTTATACTGTATATCTGCACTTACCTTCACTTACCTTTAATTCCTCTTTAACTTAAATTAGAAACATAAGAGAGCAAATCATCTGAGACTGTCACCTCCAAAAGTATAATCTAATCTATCTTAATTCATAAATTAGACATATATTGAAATGCAAATCAGTACAAAAAGTTTATTTACTATCATTGTTCAGAGTTCTAAAACTATGTAATTCCACTTAACACTCCTTAAATGACATCTTTTATATATTATGGCTAAAAAGCCTTCTTTTATATTTAAATCTTAACTTTATCAATCAAATAAACTTAAATGTGAAAAATCATTCAGAAGAATAAAAAGGCATTTTATAGCAATGTTTAGTACAGTGTCTGTCTCCCAGTATGTATTGTTTAAATATTTGATTACTAAATTACCTTCTGCAAATCTCTGCCTGTGCTTATGAAACAGATCATTCTCTTTTATTCATCACTTATTATTTAGATAATGAATATCATTTATTAGTATTTACTTCTTTTAGTTGGTAACCTGATACTTATGTAAACTTTCTTTTGACAAAATACATTATAATTAAATGTTTCTCTCAAATATTTAAAACATCTGTAATCTAAGTATGCTCCTTATTGTTCTAAGATTATGTATAAGCATATTAGCTACTTTGAAAAATAATAATAAAAAGGGGCCCCCTAAACAGTCACTATTTACTGTACAAGTTGGGCCATAGTGAAAGATACTGGACCATCTGTCATCCTGCAATACTAGATGCAAAGTAACTTTATTCTAACACTTTCTGGGTTGTCCATGTCTAATTTTTAAGAAAAAGATTACATCAGAATAGCTGGCTGGAATTCTGGAATACAAGTTAACATGACAAGTCACCCTATAATCTTTAAAAGGTTTCAATTTCCCACATCATGCTCCTTTTAAGAAGCTGTAAAAAGATACTTAATATTAAATTATATAAGCACTACTAATTTCCTTTCACATCTTTCAAAGTCAGATGCCTTCATTAAATTTCATTTATTGAAAATTACTGCTCACTTATTTAAAAAAAAATCTAAAATTCAACCAAGAAATGTAGCAGTTCCTTCTGAACATTTTTAAATGTATATATTCAAAACCAGTTGAGATTAAAGGAATTTTAACATCCTAACAAAGAGCAAAAGACTTTAAATAATTTAACCAATCATGTCAATTATTTCAAAAAGTTTATAAAATTACGCACAAAAAGCAAGTAGGCAGATCATAAAAATGAACTGAGACCAATCTACCCCACCCCATAACTTCTATATGCCCAAATAAATTAGGTTGTGAGATTCATTCCCACAAAGCATAACCTATACTGAAATCATTATGGACAATTCCAGTGCAACATACATATGTTTTTCTTATAAAAATAATTGATTATATTATATTTCACAGTATGTCCTATACCTACAATAACATAACTGTACATTTAAAAAATATCTCCCTTCTCAACTCACTGCATCCATGCAAGAGGCAAGTCCTTCACTATAGCCATCATACCTACTACGTTCTTGTACACTTGGCAGGTTGCAACTAAAATTTTCACCATTCCTTGATGATACACTAAGGCAACAAAGAGCCAAGAAATGCTCCAATTTAGTGTTGCTATTTCAAGACATAAAAGGTCATCTCCTGCTTTATCAATGTGATCCCAAAATAAGAGAGCTGCTATCTCCTGTCTCTTCATATATATTTTAAGGAAAATAGCAGATTTGCTAACTTCTCTGCCTACTGGTATGTAATTAAGAAGAGACCACTCCTCTAGTCTTCCTAGCTCCTGTCCATCCTTCTGCCTGAGAGAAACTCAGTTGATTTTCCCATCATCTTAAGGTGAATCAGGCTCAGACAACAGTAGATGGTGCAAAAAGACAGGTGCATAGGAGAATTTGAGCCAGCTAAATTTTTTCCAGTTATAAATACAGAAAGCTAAAATGTTTACTAATAATTGAAGAGCAGCTTTGTATGCTTCTGGGAATTTCAGTCTCTATGAGTGAAAAATCATCAAATGCTCAAAAGGGCACTGACTAAACTTTGCAAAAGGATTTGGAACAAGCCCACTGCAAGTAGAGTTAGGCTTAAAAATCAAAACAAAAATTCAGAAGTTGTACCTGATGATTGTTAAAAGTAGGTTTAGGAATCAATCTTCAAAACACTATGAGAATTTTAGCCATGTCTAAAGCACCTCAGACACACTCACTACTTCCTCAGTCTTCCATATGATCTGTTTGGAACCAACCCAGGATCCCTGAGGAATTCACTTTACCAATGTCCTTTTCCTACTGCTAATTTTATAAACTTGTTCCACTAGGAAACTATATATCATGCCTAAGAAATCAGTGTGTAAGTAGAACATCAATACATCCAAATTGTTAATGAGTGCTATATCATTCTAGAGGAAGTACCCAAAACGTTATATGATTAAACTACCACAAACTCAAAAATATGCCAGAATGAATATTTGAAATATCTGTAAAACAAATGACTTTTAGAGAAGCTAATTAAGGAAAACGTGATTTTTAATATTCTTATCAAATATAAAGGACTAAATCTGAAAATAAAACAGTTTGGTAATTAGAATCTAGAAAACTACATAAAACCCTAAGAAAGATCCAAATTATTAAAAATTTTTAAATCAACTCCTTCAAAATTATCACATTAATAAAAGGCATTACCGTTAATGTTGTCACAGTAGTAAAAGTATTCATCATTTAGAGAAGGACATGCTGAAACCAAATCCTGTAGGCCTGCACCAGTTACAGTAAGACAACCAGAGAGATTGAGGTGCTCCAAATAAGGCAGCCCTCCTCCCAGAGTCAAAACCCTGCAAGAGAAGCAATCCGGCTATTAGAATATGTTAATCTATGTAAACAAATATCCCATTCCCAATGGCACACTGGGCCTCTATCAACAGACCTTTCCATTTGATAATGAGAAAAACTAAAAATTTTCATAAAACACAACTAACCTCATTCCTTAGGCAGGGATACACTGAACTGTGTGTTTGTATATAACTGAAATTAAGTTGGTTGTCAAAGTAGGCTGTTTTAAATTCTGTTAACTATATATCTCCAAGGTAACAACTAAGAAAATAACTATTAAAAAAAATACAGAGAAGGGGGAAAAAAGGGAATCAAATGGTACATTACATACATAATTTTAAATGTAAATCAAACACTCCTATTAAAATGCAGAAATTAGGAGACTGGATTAAAAAAAAACATGATGCATCTATAGGCTATCTATAAGAGACCGCACTTTAAATGCAAAAACACAAAAAGAGGCTAAAATGTAAAAGCATGAAAAAACACAATCCATACAAAAAGTAACCAAGAGAGAGCCAGGAGGCTATCCTATTGTCAAATAACACAGACCTTAAATTTTTTAAAAAGGTTACAAGAGACAAAGAAAAATCAACACTAATAAAAGAGAAAAATGCTAATTGACCGTACCTTTGCTACACCCACAGCCAATCAGAGAGAGTATGCAAGTCAACCTAACAAAGATGGTGGTTAATTTGCATATGTGGAGGGAGGAAGGTATGAAGACTGAAGACAATATAGAAGGAAGAGGAAGGAAAAGCGGAAAGCAAGGCGCTGCTAGAGGAAAAGCATGGGAGGGGCAGGCAGCCCCGGTGGCCGCTTGCAGGAATCTTCCTGCAACAGGCTCCTAGTATTATATATTGATATAAGGTTCACGAATCCAAGAAGATAGAACAATTATAAACCACACACACACACACACACACACACACACAACTGAGATGAATAAAAACAAAAACACAACAAACCAAAGCTGCTGGGATGCAGCAAAAAGAGGACCAAGAACAAATTTACAATTGTAAACACCAATATTAAACATGAGGATCTTGAACCTAACTGAACACCTTAATGAATTAGAAAAAGAGCAAACATAAGCTAGTAAAGAAAAGAAATAATAAAGCCTACTGCAAAATAATTTTTTTAAATAGATAAACTATATATATAAAAGCCTAAGCAACCAAATGACTGAACGACTGGTCACTATGATGCATACTGACCAGCAGGGAGCATATGCTCAATGCAGGAGCTGCCCCCTGGTGGTCAGTGAGCTCCCACAGCCAATCTCCTGCGGTCAGCCTACCTCTCAAGGTCCCTCTCCCTTCTGGCCAAATCAGCCCAGATCGCTGGTTAGGCCACGGGAACCCACTCGTACATGAATTTGTGCATGGGGCCTCTAGTACAAAAATAATTTTAAAAAGTCAATGAGACCAAAAATTGGTTCTTTGTAAAGGTCAATAAAATTGACAAACATTTTGTAAGACTAAGATAAAAACAAAGAGGGCTCAAATTATCAGTCAGAAATGAGAACTGGGACATTACTACCAATTTTACAGAAATAGAAAAGGTTATAAAATAGCACCATAAAAAATTATATGCCAACAAATTGTATAACCTGGAGAAAATAGACAAATTCCCTAAAAACACAAAAAGTAGCAAAATGAGCTGAAAAAAGAAAATCAGAACAGACCTATATAACAAGGAGACTGAATATGGTAGATATATTTTCTTCTCTATTACAAGTAAAAATTCTTATTTTATTCATGTTTATATCCTTTAAAACATCTCAGAAAATGTGTGGTAGGCATTTGCTAAGTATTTATAAAACTTTAAATTTATGTGCTTCCAGTATATCACAAAGTATTTGAACTGACTGAAATGGAACTTCATGCTGAAGTTATAATGTTCCAACACTTTAAAGTAAGACAAATCTTGATTAACTTTTTTTTGTGTGATTAACTTTTTTGATAAATCAGCAAAAAGGCATGACACTTAGATTCGAAATTTATATTCCATTTTAGAATGAGAACATGTCCATTTCCTAATACTTAGCAATTGATTATTTACCTGAGACCATGGTCTGTGATCTGGTAACACCCGGACAGACTGAGAAACAGAAGTACACGTCCAGTCTCTTGATCAGATTTTTCACTCCCAGAGTAGATTAAGTCCTTTTCCCTAAGCAAGCTAGTCCTTGATGCCTTTCCACACAATGCGGAAGACTCTGGGAGTGCTGACATAGTCCTTAGAGCTGTTCCTGTACAACAGAATGAATGACCACAATATGCAAAGGCCGGAGAAGCACAATGCTGCTGCCAACAGACACTAGTCCTTAGTCCAACAATATCTTTACTGTAACAGCCGGAGGAGGAACAACTCAAATTGGATGCTGTTTCCATGACACAAAGGCTTTCCACATTTCTATGTCTCCATTCAACAGCATCCTCAATATCGGCCAGGTCTTCAGCATCTAACATCCACACGTAAGGAGAAGTGAAATTCTCAGAAGAAACAGGCTCAGTCCAGGGGTTTTCATTATCTATTTCTTCTCCAATAGCCTTGTTGGTGAAATCTTGCAAACAACCATACTGTTTGGTGGACTGCATGTTAATGTCTTTATTTTTCCATGTAGTCGAAGTGATTTTGCTTGTAGACAAAAGGCCACTCCGATGAGATGTCAGAATTCCAAGAGCTCTAGAAATTTTCTCTAGAGCCACATCTGTGATTTTCTCACATCCAGACAGATCAAGATGCCGAAGACTCTGGCAGCATCCAAGCCAAGACCAACTATAATTAAGAAGTTACAAGACAATTAGTGGATATTGTTAAATTCTTCAAAAGCATTTGACTATATGTGAGTATAAAAAAAAGAAAAACTTTAATATAATCAAACATTTACTGAATATATATTGTTAGGCATTATTTTAGATACTAGAGAGAGGAAAAAAAACACAATAAGGGAAATAAGAGTACTTAACCTAATAGAAGGAAAGGGAAAAAAAAAACCTAGTTTATTTGAGAGAGAGAGAGAGAGAGAGAGAGAAAGAAAAGGAAACTGGTAGCATCCAAAGAATTAAAATCTGTGAAAAGTGTACTTTGAAGGAAATGTTACAATTTCAGAATAAATATGAAGAATTGTACGAGGGAGCCTTGCCAAATGTTACTAGGAAGCAACTAAAATAGAAAACATCTTAAAAACAATAGAGCACAGCCCTAGCCAGTTTGGCTCAGTGGATAGAGCGTCACCCTGCAGACTGAGGGGTCCCAGGTTCGATTCCGGCCAAGGGCACATGCCTGAGTTGTAGGCTTGATCCCCAGTGAGGGGTGTGCAGGATGCAGCCGATCAATGATTCTCTCTCATCATTGATGATTCTATCTCTCTATCCCTCTCCCTTCCTCTCTGAAACCAATAAAGACATATATTTTATAAAAAATAAAAAAACAAACAAAAAAAAACAACAACAATAGAGCACTGCAAAGCTCAGAAGTCTAGACAAAGTTCAGGTTTATAAAAATGACAGGATGATGCAGACTGGAGTTTTGGATCAATTGGGACCTGACAAAAAAGCAAAGAACTGGAGGTGCTATCAAATTACAACCATTCATCACTCAGAGTTGACAATAAAATTAATAGTATGATTAAACTACAATTATGCAAATAAGGAACTACAGAATAATTCAATAAATTCATAGTTATAAATCATATTTAAATATTTAAAAACAACTAACCTGTCAAATGCAGCATCTGAAATGTCAGTTTGGGTAAGATCAAGATGCTCCAGATTAGGACAGAGCTCTAAAATCTGCCTCACCTAGAGGGGAAAAAAGCCACTATGAAGATCTCCAGACTTTTCATTAGACAAGAGGCAGGTGACTTAGTAAGTGACATAATCCAAAGGTTCTCAAACATTTGTGCATAGAAAAATCACTTCAAATCTGCATTGCCTGTTCATGGTGACCAGTGTCACCCCAATCAATTTAATACAAATATTTTTTTAAATCTGCATTGCCAATATATATGTTGGCTCAAACCCCAGAAAATCTGTTTAGTAGCTGTGAGTTTAGACCCAGAAAATTTACATTTTTAAGAATACCCAAGGAGATTCTGATGTAGGATGTCACAAAACACAACTTTTATAAAACAGATTTAATCTCATTGGCCACTTGACCATGCCTTACATACTATAATCATATAAAATTGGACTTCATCACTTAACATCTGTAAAACTAAATAAACTGTTTAACCTCTCCTAGTCTCTGAATCCTTTTGTAGAATGTGTAGACAATGATATCTATATATGAAGATTAATGTGAGAACTAAAATGAAATCATGTAAACATCAGCAGTATATGCCTACTCATGGGAAGGAACTCTCATGGGTAAAGTGTATTTTTTCCTTAATTAAATTCAGGAATAAACAAACCAAATTTAGATCATTACTAGTTTTTGCCGGAAACCAGTTTGGCTCAGTGTATAGAGCGTCGGCCTGCGGACTGAAAAGTCCCAGGTTCGATTCCAGTCAAGGGCATATACCTTGGTTGCGGGCATATCCTCAGTAGGGGGTGTGCAGGAGGCAGCTTATCGATGATTCTCTCTCATTGATGTTTCTAACTCTCTATACCTCTCTTTTCCTCTTTGTAAAAATCAATAAAAATATATTAAAAATAGATCATTGCTAGTTTTTGTTAATACTAATGCTAATTTATACATACCATTTTGCTGGAAACTGCAGAGCTGTATGCTAATACTAGAGTTTTTACAGAAGTACCAACATATGGTAGAACATTGTGAATTAAGCCATGGAGTAAACGTTTTTCCATTTGTGCAATGCTGATAGCAATCGATTCCTCTGCAGACTCTTCTGTAAAATGAATTCAAAAGTCTAAGAACTTGATATACTAATTATAATTAGGCTACTCATGGAATCACCAACATTAAATATGAAATACTCTTTGCTATCCTTAAACTCCCTTATGTATGCAAAGCAATTTAAATGGACAAAGTCTCGCTCCCCAGGACTTAAATGTTTAACTGGTCTGGCTTCAATTAAAAAGAGGTGAAAGAAGAAAAATAAAAGGTTTATAATGAGAATGAAGGGAAGGTGAGTTTTTTTCATATACGGTATTTCAAATTGAAGGTAATTTTGATATCAAGATAGGCAGCAAAGGAAAAAAAAATAACTCCAGTTTCACACACTGAAAACAGTTTTAGAAAAAAAACTTTGAGTACTTGAAGAATATTAGGAGTTCTTTAAGAGAATATAGGACACCAAAAGAAAAAAGAATCATAATAAAAGTAACATTAGTTATTTTACCCAAATAAAAGGGATATAGAGCTGGAAGAAATTTGAAACAATTAAGTTAGCCTGGTCATAATAAATCAAGCAAAGTAAAGTACCTTAGGGTTTTTAAGAAGTTAAAAATGAGCATGGCTTTTGCTTTTTGCTTAATAATTTCTGCAGAACTTGGATGTTTACAACAGGATGCACTACTGTAACAACAAACACAACAACAAAAAAACTGCAAACTTCAATTTGATATAAGAAAAAAAACACTACAATAAAAAGAATGAACTAATAATTTTATCCTTTCTCCAGGTCCTACTGTTATTATGCTTACTCAAAGATCTAACTTAAATGTCTCTAAATATAAACTGATTTATATATATACATATACAATACGTGTGTGTGTGTGTGTGTGTGTGTGTGTACCGAATAAGTTAAGAAAGTATCATTAAAAAAAAATGTAGCTGACAAAATAAATATTAAGTAGAAAGAATAAGTCTGAATTTGTAACTAATGTTCCATGTTTACAGATATTATCCTAAATTCCTTCTTTAGCCAGACATAATATATAGATAAAAATGACCTTTAATTAAACCTGTTTATTCTGCTATACTTTTATTCACAAATGAGTCTTCTTTCTGTTGTCCTCCCCATCTAAATGTGTATTGTTTACTATGAAATCTTAAAAAAAAAAATAAAAAAAAAAATTAAACATCTTACAAAGAACATTAACTTACTTCTTATACAAGACTGGTAAGGACAGCGAAGCTGAAAAAGTACTAATATAAATGGTAGTTTAGTCTTATATCCACTAAATAACTGAACAGACGTATTTCTTAAAAAGGGCTTGACCTGATAGCCTTAATTTTTCCCTTTCAATACATAGGAAAACAACAGGCTTCACTTTAGCTATATTCAAAAGTTAAAGAGCTAACATTTTGATAAAGCCTTTAAAACTAAACATAGGTATTATGAATTAATTTTCTAGGACAGATCAATCAAGTTTTCCCTAAGGTGACATCTGCGTGAAGACCTTACCTGCTTGAGGTCTTTGCTCAAACTTCTCAGGGGACCTTAATTAATCACTCTAAAGTCATAACTTCTTCTATCTCTTCCTGGCACTCTTGCCTTTTTTATTTTTCTCCACAGCATTCAACACTATCTAATATAGTATATATTTTTGCCTGCATTTATTATCTGCCTACCCTCTCCAAATGTTATCCTAAACAAGGCCAGAGAGTCCCCACCCCCATTTTGTTCACTATTAACCCCATGCTAAGAAACTACCTGCAACAGGATAAGCACATCACCAAATCTAAGTGGAATAGACCTTTCTCCCTTGTTCCTTATGTTGTACCTTGTAAGTGCTCAAAACTATACCAACATGTGGCACCTTCATTTCATAAAAATAAACTGGCTGCTGAAAGAATAACCTTTAACTTTGTAGTCCTTACTTTCCACATCTTATCTGTTATTTTTTTACTACTCCATCATCTTTTAGTAATTATTATCTGAATAATATCTAAGATAAACTTTAAGTTTTTCTCCTTTTCCAAATAGCATATTTCTGCACCTCTATTAAAATGCAGTTTTCATTATTTATTGATACATTGAATTAAGAATCATGAATTCTAAGTTTTCACCTGTGAGTACTTTAAGGATAGAAAATAAAGTCTTATTCACCCATGAATTCTTCCAGTGCTTAATAAATGATACACTAGTCCCTTAGAATTGTAAAGAATTTTTACAAATTACTTTACAATTCTACAACGATGTAAGGCAAGCAGTATAACTATTTGCAAATGCAAAATCAGGTTCATATAGGTGGGATAAATGGTGATGGAAGGAGACTTGGCTTGAGGTGGAAAACATACAATATACAGATGATGTATTGTAGAACTAATAATATAGTTACGTTAACCAATGTCACCCCGATAAAGTCAAGTAAAAATAGATTCAACAGCTTCATGCTCCTTCCTCTGGGCCACAGAAGACTCAATAAATACTACTGAATGATCAAATGAGCACATTTAAAAACACACATTGTAAACTTCAAAACAATATCATAAATGTACATTATTTCAATAAGAATAACCAGCATTTTCTGATTAAGGTATTTAAATATAAAAACATATAAAACACAATTTATACACACTAAAAAAAATTACTTCAAACAGAATACTTTTAAATTTGCTGACTATTCCTTCAAATTTTAAAAAGTAGTAGGCTTAAAAATAAGTTTCTTTAGAAAATACAAAATATATAAACATTACCATGTATTTACTCATTTAATATAATATTATTATTGCACCATGTAATAATTTTATTTCCAAGCAGAGCTTACCAGATTCATCTATATCGGCATCTTCGTCCCATTCCTGAAAAGCACGACTTTCATCCTTCCTACTTTTCACCCATTCCTCATCAGGTTCAGTATCAAGTTCAGTTGCAGGGCCACTATACCAGTCACCTATTCAACAAATAAACAAGAACAAAATAAGATTAGATTGACTACCGTTACAAAAAAAATAATCTATTTATAATAAAAATCTCTGCACACACATGAGTCCTAGGCAATGGGCCAGCTATTGTTAGAAATATTCAATTATGGTTTAAAAAATTACACTTAAATAATAAAGAATTTCATTTCAGACATGCTAAAAAGAACAATGAAAAACAATTATCAATAATCTTACTGGCAATTTTAGAAATCACCAAAAACCACATAACTTTTTCCCCTAAAGAGGCTTCACACTGGCTCTGACAATATCTCCATTATAACGACAGCTAATAAACAAAAGGAAGCAAGACTTTCTGCTAAGTAGTGGATTAGTCAGCAATTAAGAAGGTAGGAACAGAAGTAAATGGGTCAGATTAAGGTAAAGTAAGCCATAAATTTAAAGATTCTGGAGAATATACTGCATTTAAATTACATGATTGTGAAGTAAGAGATCATGCATGATTAATTTACTGAACTCCCCACATTATATCTAATTTAGGGTTTCTCAATGTTTGATACTACTGATATTCTGGGGTAGGGAATTCTTGATTGTGGGGGTCTGTTCTACACATTTTATGGTGTTTAGCAGCAACCCTGGCCTCCATCCACTGAAGACCAGTATGTAAATTCCCCCAGACTGGACAAAAATGTCTCCACAGACATACCAAAATGCACCTCAAGGAGGGTAAAATCAATTCTGAGTGAGGACTACTGGAAACAAATACTCTAAATGCATAAAAACTATTTCTATTGGAACTTTTTAAGCACAATGAAACAGGAAAAAAAAAAAATTAACATCCACTTAACTTCACAGAAATCTAACATAGCATCATCAATTTCATCTTTTTATTAAACAGTACCTACATTATATATTAATTCCTAATAATTATTCATAATTAAAAACATAGCTAAACAAAAAAAGCATTTAAAACATTCATATTTGTCTTGCTTGACTTTCATTATACTACAACTAATAGAAAAAATTATTCCACTTAAAAAATAGTAATTCTAGATCATTTGGATATACAAGCCTAACCACTACTCAAAAAATGTTAAATATAAAACTTATTAAAGTCATATTCATAATTTAATTATATGCAAAATATGTATTTCCATGTCAAAGTGACAAATTATAGGAAACTAAGAATAATTTAATATGAATTTTAAGGTTAATATTCATCTAGAAATTATTTTAATTCAGTGTCAAAAAAATTACATGCAATAGTAGCTGTATTTATCCCATGACTGCATTATATGCTCATGAAAAGAAATTTTTTTTAATTGTTCACATGTAAAAACTTAACACATGAATTAATATAAATTTTGATTTTCTAAATGAGGCATTACTAATTACACAAAAAATAAAAAAAAATATGCTGGAGACAAAAATAAATTCAGTTATTTTGAACTACTACCAAAAGGCAGCCATAATAACATCTCATCTTTCTATTTAATTTATTCTATATTTCTTAAATACACAAACAATCTAATTATTTAAAGCTGTCTGACATCCTATAAATTTGATTTCTAAATTTTTGTTATGGAAAATTCCAAAAATAATTTAAAAATTGGAAGAAATTGCATTAAAAAAAGTAGCGCCTATCTTCAACAATGACCAACATTTTGCCAATTATTTTGCATTCTCTCCCCAACAATTTTCTCCTGATTATTTTAAAGGAAATGGCACACATCACATAACTCACTCCAAAATGCATACAAAGAATACAATCTATGACATCTACTTTTTACTTAACCTCTCAGTTTCCCAATAATTTCTAGATGAATATTAACCTCGCTGGCCTTACTTATTAATGTTTATGAGTATTCCTTTAAAAAAAAAAAAAAAACCCAAACACCAGACTGGAATATTTTTAAACAAACTAAAAGTCCCATTTACTTACCTCTGGCCCAATGAACAGGGTAAAGATGCTTCCAAAGCGATCCAGTCTTCGCCAGCTGAGACCATTTGGTGCTTACTTGACTGCATCGACATAATTCTTGAGGATTAAGATAACTGAAAATTGACAGCATTACCTCAGGAGGAAGCTGGTTTATCCCTGTGGATCGTTCCGACACCTCTGCTTCTGAAATAAAAAAGAAAACTTTACCATTAGATGATATAAGAGCAAATGCAATAAGAAATTACAATCATATTTCTATAAATAAAATCAAGTGCCTAAAGTCCACTCCTTCCTGCTTGCAAGACATGAAAAGGAAGTAACGTGGATTAGAGGTAACATAGGGATGTTAAACTTGTTAAGAATCCGTAGGGTTAAACTATCATGGCTCAAATCATACTTCATCAGTAGGAGCTACAATAGCAAACACAGAATCGACTTCCTCTTACAAACGCGTCACAGAAAAAACAATACTCACTTTGTAGCATAAGCAGCATCGTTTGAAAAAGAAATCCAACAGGTTATACGGCTTTAAGTCAACAAGTGTGGAGTCGACTAGATTATGAGATCTCCTAGGCATTTGTAATGACACACACAAATCTCATAACATTTCCCATTCATACATTATGACACCTGTGAGTATCCTCCAAGTTTCCCCTCTTTTCACATTTCATATGAGAGTCTGTAAAATCTGAATTTTTTAACCTATAAATAACACCCTAATCTACTTATATGTCTATATTTATGAGCCAGTTGAGACAATATAGGAAGTATTTCTAATGCTGACATACATTTATCAAGAATCATTTGTCAGCAACTATTGTAGAAATTAGTCAGTGGATGTCTAATTTCCTATAATATTAATTCAGTAGCAATTTTCAAGGGGGGGGGAGAGCAAATGAGGTATACAATAAGGAATATAAAATATAAAAGATTCATTATTGAAGTACTAGGAAGAATTTGAGGACTTTGTATGATTTGTCTTCACAAAAATATTGTAATGCTATGAACAAATTACTTACACCAACTCTTTTTAAGTAACAAATATTTTTAAAAGAATGCAGCTATAATTTGCTTTGAAGGAGTGGGAAAATTAAATGTAATAAGTGTGATGCTTTTAAATCCCATGTTATATGCTACAATTAAACCAGACACAGCAGGTCTTGTCTTAAGTGTTTAAGGCCCAAATTGAATTTCAGAGTGAAGCACACAGCTTTATAGATTTAATTATAGCTTAACCTACAAAAACATTTTTGTTTCAACATGCATCTCACCTACTTTGTAAAATAAAAATAACAGAAAAGGAACCATTTCAAAAAACTTTTTATGCTATTTTAACAGAAATGTCATTGCTACTGTCCATTTAAAATAATCAAAGGAATTTTTACTAACTTAAAGATGCCAATTTTTTAAAACGATGTTTTAAATGGCAAGACTATCAAAGACAAATAAAAATTAAAAGGAGGAAGTAGTCTAAGAAACAAGTAGGCATATTTTGCCTTGGCTGGTGTGGCTTAGTGAGTTGGGTGTTATCCTGTGTACGGAAAGGTTGCCTCGAATCCAGTCAGGACACATGCCCAGGCTGCAGGCTCGATCCACGGTGTGGGGCACGAGGCAGCCAATCAATGATTCTCTCTCATCACTGATGTTTCTTTCTTTTTTTTTTTTTACATTTTAAAATATTTATTAGCAGTGTGTGTTTCTCCTACTATGAGTTGTCCATTTATATTTTATATAATTTTTATTATTGATTATGGTATCATATAATTGTTCTCATCCCAAGCCCCTCCCCACATATGCCCCAAACCCCTGTTGTCCATGGCCACTGGTTAGGCTTATTTGCATGCACACAAGTCCTTTGGTTGATCTCTCCTCCTTACCCCCTTACTTCCCTCTGAGGTTTGATATTTCTATCTGCCTCTCCCCCTCTCCCTTCCTCTCTGAAATCCAAAGATGATACTGCAAAAGTGCTCTATATATAGTTTTCAGTAATTTTGATAGGCCAATTATTATTAGTTTATGTATATATCAATCCCTTTAAGAAATACAACATTTGCCGAAACCAGTTTTGCTCTGTGGATAGAGTGTCGGCCTGCGTACTGAAAGGTCCCAGGTTTGATTCCAGTCAAGGGCATGTACATTGGTTGCGGGCACAACCCTGGTAGGGGGTGTGCAGGAGGCAGCTGGTCGATGTTTGTCTCTCATCGATGTTTCTAACTCTCCGTCTCTCTACCTTCCTAACTGTAAAAAATCAATAAAATATATTAAAAAAAAAAAAAAAGAAATTCATTTGTGTGGTTCAACTATATGAGATGCTAAATTATCAAACAACACTAAGTTCTAAGATAAAAACTAATGTTTTTATTAAATTTATACTTGAAATTAAATTAAATGTCTTAAGTTATTCCTCAGACAAAATCTAAGGTTCATATCAACAAAAGCAAATGGCCTTGAAACTAATAAATCACTTGCTATCTACAGATGAATCTCACCTTTATCTGACTTTTCATCCACAGAATATTTGAAAAACTTCTGTCGCTCCTCAGCTTGATTCCATAGGCTAAGACCTCTAAGAAGTTCTGCGGTATCCTTTTGAGAGCAATGTTGTGCAATCACTTTCTTTTTAATATCCTTAAGCTCTTCATAGGTAAAATATTCCATTAACATGGGCTGAAAAACCTAAATTAAACAAAACAGTCAGAAAGAAAGATGCTTATTTTATTTTACTCTACAACTTTTAAATTATTAATGGCTATAGTATTATGAGTATCTATTTCAAAGAGATAAAAATTTTAGTTGTTACCACCAAGTTAGTTTATCCAAAAAGTATAGAGAATATTAGCAAAAAGATCTTTCTCTCTATGAATTCTCTAGCTAAGTCAACCCCTAAACAATTTCAAAGCATCAGAATGAGGTCTTCTTGTACAGAGCTTGTCCAACACTCTTCACTCTTCTCTAAAATTAGACAGTTAGGTCAGTTAACTGCCTTCTGCTAATACAGTAACTGGCCTCTACCCACCCAAACAGGGCTCTAAACCTAGGAGAATGGGACCAAGCTCTATTGAGACTTTCAACCATTCAACATTACATAGATTTCTTCTTCAAAATAGATGCTTAGTCCCAACTGCTCACTTATACTGTTAGAAACTTTAGAGATGGAGGGTTATTTTTATGGTTCTACAGATAATTTTGATGTGCATCATAGATTACAAAGCACTGCTCTAGTAACTCTGTGGTTTCAAATGCTGGTTGCTTATGATGGTAACTTTGGGAACCTTGTAAATATAATCATACCGGCATCCCACCTGAAGCTATAGTTAGGAATTACCATAATAACTGATTTACTGCAGTTCTTTATCAAATATTTTCTCTATTCCTTACCCTGATGTTCATCCCACTTTAGTTTTTTATTGTTTTGTTTTCGTCTTTTTAAGTGAGAGTAAACTTATCAAAGCTTGAAACAGAGAGGCAAAGGAAGGGCCCTGGAGACAGGATCAAGGGTAAGCCCAGTGCTTCCCTGGGTGCAGGCTCTCTCGGCACCTTCCAGCTTAGGCTAAAAGAAGCCAAGCGCACGCCTAAGGAAAGGGGGCGAGGGTGTGCTCAGAAGAGAATGTGCCCATCCCAATTCAGAGAAAGAAGAGAATGAGAAAATAGTTTGCTCTTCCGTGCAGTGATATCCTAATACTTGTATACCAGGCATAAGATTGAAGTTTAACACCATCTTTTAATTACTAAAATACACTACTAAAAAAAGAACACTAAAAATTCTTTATTAGCCTGGAAATACAGGAAAAGTTTAAAGCATCCTCTAAAGGTTCTGAAAATGCATTAGGGTGACAAAAAAAAGTTATGAACATTCAATATAGTGCCATCTTCATAATAAGAAAATCAATTAAATAACTCAATGAAAAGCAACAATCTTTCTGAGGTTTTAAAAAAAAAAGATTGCCTTTTTCTCTAGGGTTTTTCTTCATTTGTGAAAATAAACTGGAGGCTTATCTTCGTAGGTATTATTTTGAAGAATCAAAGGCAAAATAACATTTTATTTATTTACTTATTTACATATTTATTTATTTACTTGTTTAAAAAAGAAAGTTTATGTGGAAAGTCACAGAAGTAACAGAAGTGAGCCAGCAGGAATGCGTAGGCTCAGGAAACAAGTTATAGAGGCAGAATAAGGGTCCTAGGAGAGGGAAAGGCAAAGGTAACACTCCTGGGAGAAGAAAAGCGGGGAGAAAAGGCATGCGCATGCTCTGAGAGGTAAAACAAGCCCAAAATAACTTTTTTAAAAATTTATAAATCAAAATCACAAGGAGGAAAAATTATGCTTACCTCCTCTTCCTCTTTCATATGAGGAAGAAAATCTCTTGTAAATGCCTCCAACCTCTCTTTCAGCTGTTTCTCATAATTTAACTGCTCATATTCATTCTAGAAACAAACAAAATAAGTATTCTATAAAAATCCTGCTTCATTATTTCCTAATCCTAAGAAGTCAGTTTAAAATGCAACATAAAACCTTAAAAAAAAAAAAAAAAAAAAAAAAAGCACAAACAAATAGCAAAAAAAAAAAAAAAAAGCACAAACAAATAGTGATCTCTGTACTTTCTTAGTATAAAAGATGTCTTAAAGCCATCTTGAACCTTGAATTCCTTTAATAATGGGATCTCATATTTATTTTTAATGTCATAAAAGGTCTAAAAATAGCAAGTATTTGTTCAAAACTTCTATTAATTTCTAATGCATATATTTATATAATTTCTGTGTCAGTTTTCTTAATATATTTCCAAGTAGTCCATAGAAGCCTACGGGACCCTTGCCATTACAGAATCCCTTTAAGACAGTAATTTTAAACTGGTATGCCCCAAGGATTTTTAAACGATGCAATACTTGACTAGTCAGAGGCCACTGGCCTCTTTTTCCTTAGATTATAAAATAAAAAATAACAATAGCCACCACAAATAAGAGCCATCCAGTATGAATGAATCAAACTTATACCTATTTTATATTTTTTGGTGTCCCAGAGAATTTTAGTAATTATGTGTTCCAGGAGAGGAAAAAGGTTGAATAAAGTCATTTAGTGTATCTTCCACTAAGCAATTCAAAATACATGTTACATTATCCTACAGAAGACCATATACAGTTCCAAAGAGAAGGTATCAACTTCTAAAGGCAAGGAGAGTTCACTATATTTTTCACTACAGTAAATCATTGTAAGTCCAGACAATTGCTAGAAAGTTCTTCCTCATATGAATTAAGATAATATCTCCCTGTAACTTATCTGTCACTTCTATATCTTAAAATGAGGAAAATATATAAAATAACGAACTTTCAAAGTGTGGGCATATTTTATCCCTTTGGAGTGCTCATTAATCTCTTCTTTTTTCCACTAGTTTATTCAATTGCTTCCTAATATTCTACCCTATGTATTATTCTCTTAAAACTTTATACATTTTCCTGCCCCAACTCTGCTTTTAGCTATGAATGCCCACTTGTTCCTTTTATATTCAGAGTTGAAACCCACTACAATAACCCTGAGTAAAGTCTTCCTTACAGTTATTAACAAGTGTCAAAATTTTTATTCTGTAACATAACATCATACACTATAAAATGCTAACAAGTTTTACAAATGACATAGCAGAAGATGACACAAGTTGTGGTAGTAAAATAGCCATTTTTACCACTCACCTTAACATTCTTCAGTCCCTTTTCAAAGAGGCTAAGCATCTCAGAGAGTTTATTGTCAGAATGTACATTATAAATGGTCTGGCTGCGTTGTTGAAGCAAACCAATAATGTATTCATTTTCAATCTGCTCATGCATTTTGAACTCCTTAAAAGTAGCATACAGAGACTGCAGAAGAGCACGGAAATCATTGTTGTTGGAAAAGTTGGTTTTAGAAAGCTGAAAAATTTAAAAAGAAAGGCATAATAAATACACATAAATATGCACCAATAAATATTGAAATGCATTATTTAGTTTATACATAGCAAAATAGCTATCTTATACTTGGTTAGTTTACTTGATTAATTTACGGTTTCTTTAAATAAAAGGGATTAGACTAGATTCCCACCAAACCCCAAATTCTATTAGTGTATACATATGCTAAATACAGATACTCCTATACAGGAGAATTAATTTAGCTTCTGTAAAAGGAAGTATGAATTAGGTATTAAGAGTCATTTATAGAAAACCAGATCTAAGATTGGATCCCAGTTCTATCATTTATTTAGCTGTGTAAATGTACGTAAGTTAATTTTCTCCCTCCATGTCTTAGTGTCTTTTTGGTGTTAAATGGTAATAATAATGACATGTATACTACGCAAGGTCCCTGTAAGACTAAAATGAATTAGTGCTCAGTAAATGTTAGCTATCATCATTTTGAAAGTTAATCATTCAACTTTATAAATTCATGCATTTTTTTTTTACTCTGTTCAGACATTTAATGAACAGCTACCATGAGCCAGCTACTATTTCTGATACTTGGGATACCTCAGTTAACACAAAAAGACATCTCTGCCGTAATAGGGATTACATTCTATAATGTAAGTGAAGGGAAATAAGACAATGAATAGTAACCATAATAAGTAAGTAAATTATCTAGAAAGGGGATTGGCAACTTTTTTCGTGTGTGTGTGTGTGAAGAGCCAAGCAGTAAATATTTAAAGATTTGCAAAGCAATTCAGCTGTTGTTACACAAAAACAGTCATACAAATGAGTGTGGCTGTATTCCAAAAGAACTTTATTTATGGACTTAATTTGATTTTCATATAATTTTCACATCCTAAAATATTCTTTTAATTTTTCCAAATGTTACCTATTGAGCCACACAAAAACAAATGCAAACTTTTATCCCAGGAAATCTTGCATAAGATGACAACAAAATTCACTAGTGTCTAATTTCAGCAAATACTATCATGTGTCACTTTATTTTTTTTTAATTTAAAATAAATTAGTAGAAATAAGAGATAAATCAAAAGAATGCATTAAAAATGGCTATAAATTTTTTAAAAACAAAAGCATGGCAAAAAACAAAAAAAAAAAAATAGTAAAAAATGCCCCACTGGTGTGGTTCAGTGGTTGAGCGTCGGCCAGGAGGTCACAGTTCAATTCTTGGGTTGCCTGCTTGGTCACCAGTGAGGGGCATGCAGAAGGCAGCCAATCAATGATTCTCACTGTTGAGTTTCTATCTCTCCTTCTCTCTTCCTCTCTAAAAGCAATAAAAATATTTTTCTTTAAAAAAAAAAAAGGTTAAAAATGTCCTAGGCCTGGCCAGGTAGTTCCGTTGGTTAGAGTGTCATCCTAATATGCCAAGGTTGTGGGTTCCATCCCAGGTCAGGGCACATACAAGAATCAACCACAGAAAGCATAAATAAGTGAAACAACAAGTCAATGTTTCTCTTTCGCTCCCCACAGCATTCCCCTCTCAACTCAATTAAGGGGGGAAAATGCCCTCATATGAGTTAAGGAAAGTAATATCTTAAAAGACATGCAGGAATTCTGCATATATTCTCATTGACATATTAGAAAAGCTTTCAAATTTAAAGACGAACTGCCCAGGTGCAGGATCCAGATCGAAACCAAATCACATATATAAAGGACTCTATGTTATATGTGGAGTCAATCCAGCACAGTGGTTAAAAGTGCTGACTCTGGAGTAAGATTGCTTAGGTATGAATCCATCTCTGTCAGCAAAAGCCATCAAATTGCTCTGCGCCTTAATTTCTTCATCTGCAAAATAAGGCTAATATTAACTACCATATAGGATTCTTGTGAAATGTAATAATATATTTAATAAATATAATAATATACTTAAAGAACAAAGACTTGGGTTTTTCTGTTATTTCTATAGTTAGTTCAAAACTATTATTGAAACTACCCAAGTTAGTTTTTCTCCACTTGAAAATAACTGTTTTAAAAACTGGTACTAGTCAATAAATTTAGCACTTAAAAAAATAACCAGAATAAACTATTTAACTTTTATAAAATCTGTTTATGAGTTGTTTTTTAAAATTTTGTTTGCCTCTGTAAAGTTATTCCAACATATAAGTTTGATTGAGAAAAAAATAACCCATACGCTAGCTAATAATACCTGGAACATATTGAGGCCTCTGCTGTGCTAAATATTATACAAAGTATTTTTAGATATTATCTTACAACAATCATAGAAAGTTATATTTCTTATTTTATAAGTGAAAGAGGCTTGGAGAAAATAACTTAACCCAAACCAGACAGGTAGTAGACATCAAAACAGAGATAAATCTCTATTACCCTAAAATCTATGTTCTTTCCACAAGATACAATGTTAGTACCAATCATAAAGTTATCTTTTCAGATCCAATAGTTAAAAAGAATGCCAGCTCTAAAGCAAAAGTTCTCCCTAGGGAGTTGACTTTGCCTCCCAGGAGCTAACAGGCAAAGTCCAGCGACATTTGTGAATTGTCACCCCTGCAGAAATGATACTGACCTCTCCTGGGTAAAAGTCTGGGACAGGGCTAAACATCCTTCAGGACAGCCCCCTCAACAAGGAATCATCTGTCCCAAAATGTCAGTAATGCTACAGTTGAGAAATGCTGCTCTAAAGTAGTGTTTTTAAAATGTTTAATTTTTATCCTTAGTATGAAATACACTGCAATCTAGACACATACACACATCACAAACATTTCAAAAAATTTCAGCAAACAATAATATTCCCTAACTTGTGATGTACTCTAATATTTACTTTTCCATTTCATTTTTTAATGCTGTTTCTGACCCACAAAATTGATTTAATGACCTACAAATGGGTCATAGGATACACTCTGAAAAACAATGTTCTATAGTAGGCTATCAAAGTTCCTAAATACACTTGTATACTATGATGCCTAGCAAATTCAACAAAGAACCTATGTAGAACACAATACACCTAAATCAACAAATAGTAATAACCAGTAACATGATATCTCCCAAATTTTAAAAATTGAGAGCTGACTCTGTTTTAGGCACTCTACAACCTAAAATCTTAGAGCCTGGCTTCAAATTGATTTGAAAAGTTGTGTGTCATTTAAAATCTAGGTAATAAGTTCAAAAATAGCTATGAAAACAGCATAACAAAGCCCAAACATTATTATTATCCCAAATAAAGTTTTACTTTTTGTCTACTCAACAAAACAATGCTGTTTTAGTCAAGGGAGTTTTACACATAATGAAGAAACCCAACTATTTCTGGTCGAACTAACTCTACAAATAGAAAAACAAAACAAAACTGTGTTTCACTAGGAAAATGTTTTGCATAAAACCATACAGCTAGTAATAAACAGCAGAACCAGTAAGGTAATGCTTTAGAAGGCGAAAAAAATCCTAAGATTAAAATTCAGGCTCCCCTAATTACTAGTTGAGTGAGTTGGGCAAGTTACTTAACCACTAAGTCCATTTCTTCATCTTTAAATGAGGGGTAATACTTGTCTCACTGAGCTCTTGTGAGGATTTAAGGAAATAACATAAGCATGTATAATAGTAAGAACTCACTGAATACCCTTTTCCGTCCTCTCCTAGCTCTCAATTCAACATTCTCTCAAATGAACCAATCTTCTCAATGCCAGTCAATAACAGTTTTTACAGGTATGCAAAGAAATAGAAAAACAAGGAAAACTAAAGGAATTCTTCATAAAGCTATATTTGTTTAATTAAAAAAAATAATCTGTTCAAATTATTCTGAGCTTACTTCCTCTAGTTTCTTTGGTCACAAAATGTCCTTTCTTTATAAAGTGATAAAGTAGATGACATTTTTAATGTTCATACCTGAAAAATTTGGGCATTCCATAAAGCCTCTACCACTTGAATTTTTTTATAACTGTCTTATGTGTAAGCCTGGGAACTTCTGTTCTATGCACAACCTACAGCCATCCCCTACTCTGTTCTCAGAAACCAGTCTGAAGAGACTCGAAGACCAGTCCCAACACTTTAATGTACAGCTGACCACACACCTCTTGGCTTCCACTATGGTGCATTTGGATTTCCATCCTACCATTAGGGTCTGATTGTAAATTCCTTAAGAATTGGGACCTCATCTCACATCACCAACACAAGTGACTATACAGCCAACTGACAGAAGAATATCAATGCTCACGGGCAGAATTAATGTTGTTAAACACTGAGGATTAGAGGAAAGACTGAAGAGTTGGAATAAACTGGAAAAAGAATGTCAGTTGATGACAATGTTCACTAAAACTATCCCAACTGGGAAGGTCAGTAAATTGGCAAAAAGATTTCATAAAAAACTGCTACCAAAATTTTTTCCAGAAACTACTCTGATTTCATACACAGAAAATTATACTAGGAATCATGATCCTGACTTGAGTTTTCATTTGGATCTATTACTAGGTGCTTATGTAAACTTGGTCTAGCTAACCTAGGCCTATAAGTCCCAGCTGCTTCTTTATAATTACTGGGCAGAGTCAACGTTTAGAATACAGTGAAATAACATGCTTTGTATCTTTTTAGTTTGAGTATAAAAACTAGTTCTCATTTTGTAAAGTTTTAATGTAGGCTGTTTGGATTGGATATCCCTGGTCTATGAAACCAAAAGATGATGAAGGCAAAACTTGGGTTTGCAAATGAGTAAAAACAAATAGTCTATTCAGCCATTATAAAAAAAAATTACTTTTTTCCAAAATAGTTCCCCAAAAACGTCCTAGAAGAGTTCCATTAACTATTAGCATCAAGAAAAAATCCGATGTAGAATTCTTATGTAGCCTCCCTTTCCATCCCCAAATCACCTTGGTCTATGATCCACAGGTTAGATTTGGACTATAAATCTTCTTGATGACTAAATCTCATTAACTACCAATAATTAGTTTGGAATTGGTGATGATTTTCACTTATGATATATCAAATTGAAAATTATTCCACCATAGCCAGTTTGGCTCAGTAGATAGAGCATTGGCCTGAAGACTGAAGGGTCGCAGGTTTGATTCTGGTAAAGAGCACATCCCTTGTACCTCAGTTACAGCCTTGATCCCTGGACCGGCTTGTGCAGGAGGCAACCAATCTTTGTGACTCCCTCTTCCTTCCACTCTCTCTAAAAATCAATGGAAATAATACCCTTGGGTCAGAATTAACAAAACAAAAACAAAACAAAAATGCTTTTTAGTTATTGCAAGAGAAACATTTAATTTAAAAGAATCTTATTTGACTCAAATATTGTTTTTAGAAATGGCACTGTGTTTTCCAAATTTGTTCTAATGTTCTCAATCACCAGATAATGATATACAAAACTAGTGATTTACTTTTTAAAATCCTACCTTATAAAAGAGTAATATGCAAATTAACCATCACTCCATTCAAGCCACCTGCCAATCAGAGCAAGTATGCAAATTAACCCAACCAAGATGGCTGCAGCCACAAAGAGCAGTTGAAAGGCTGGGTTTCTCCAGCAATGGAAGTCAAGCTTTCAGCACATCCTGGCCGGCCTAGGCCTCCACTCAAGGCTACAAAGTTTCAATTATAGAAGATGCACCAAACCAAACAGAAATGGCAGCAGCTGGAGTGAGCAGGGGGCTTGGCTCCACTCCAGGCTACAAAGTTTCAATTGTAGAAGGTAAATAAATTCCAGATACCAGGGTCTCTGCTTGGGTTGGGGGTGGGGGGGAGTAGGTGGCTTGCAAACCACCACAGGCCACCCCACACCCCAATGAACCCCCACCCTGATCTGGGACACCCTTCAGGGCAAACCAGTCGGCCCTCATCCATGCACCAGGCCTCTATCCTATCTAATAAAAGAGTAATATGCAGATTGACTATCACTCCAACACACAATAGCAGTCCCCATGTAGTCAAAGATCCTATCCCTATGTGGACATAAGATGGCCACCAAAAAATGGCCAGCAGGGGAGAGCAGTTGGGAGGCACCAGGCCTGCAAGGGAGGGCAGTTAAGAGGGACCAGGCCTGCAAGGAAAGGCAGTTGGAGGTGATCAACCCTGTAGGGGAGGGCAGTTAGGGGTGGCCAGGCCAGCAGAGGAGGGAAGTTGGGGGCAAACAGGCTGGCAGGGGAGCAGTTAGATATCAATCATGCTAGCATGGGAGTGGTAAGGGAGTGATCAGGATAGGCTGGCGGGCAGAAGCAGTTAGGGGCAATCAGGCAGGCAGACAGGCAGGCAGGAGAGCAGTTGGGAACCAGCAGTCCAGGATTGTGAGAGGGATTATGAGACATCCCTCGAGGGGTCCCAGATTGGAGAGGGTGCAGGCTGGGCTGAGGGACAACCCCCACCCCATGCATGAATTTCATGCACCGGGCCTCTAGTTTTTAAATAAGGTTGGTTAGTCTAGTGTATAATTAAATAAATTTGGGATTCCTGATTATTTTAGTAGAGTATAAAGCATTTAGAAATCCAATGAAGGCCACAAACCTCCTAGGGAAATGTACACGGGCACAAAAATTTTCATAACCATTTCTGTGTTCCCTGGACTACATCTCCCCAAATCTAAAATGGAGAACACTTCAGAATCCATCAGTCCTCACTAACTTTTCCTTTTTGATTTTGAGAAAATAAAACACCTCCCCATTTTTATCTTTGCTGCAATTAAAAGATACTGTCAGAAAAGCTAAAAAACACTACGCTAACTCAAAAACTCAGGGGTTACTCAGCTTAACTAACGGCTAACCCATGCTTAATGCTTCTCCCAGACAAGCAGTTAATTCTCACCCTTGGCTGCACACTGGACTCACCTAGGAGCTTAAAATTATACAGTCACGTGCCCCTTAATGGCTGGGCTACATCCCGAGAACTTCATCGTTAAGCGGCGCTTCATTGTTGTGGGAACATCAAGCTAGATACAATCTAATATAGCCAACTAGACACCAAGGCCACATGGTATATAGCCTATTGCTCCTAGGCTACAAACCTGTTACTGTACAAAACAGAAGATTAAATTAAGCACAAGAGACAATAATGCAGTCAAGAGATGTGCCATGACATGATGTACAGCAAACTTGTTTTATAAGCAGAAAAGGTACACTCAAAAAAAAAAAAAAAAACGATAAAAAGTATAGTATAATAAATACAGTAACCAGCAACAGAGTCGTTTATTATCATCAGGCACTATATCCTGTGCAGAATCCCACCTGCTACACTTTCACTCAACTGGCAGGGCACTAGGTCCGTCCCCAGCAGCATCCCCACAACCGCGTGAGTAACGCGCTGGGGACAAAGACTGCAAAGTCACTGGGCCCCGGGAATGTCTCAGTTACATTATAATCTTACGGGGCCAAAGGAGGAGATGCGGTTCCTCCTACACGGAAGTCATGCCGTGCACATGACTGTGCATCTGGTGCCTGGGTCCCACCATCCCGGATCCTGATTTTACCGGTGTAGGCATCAGGATGTGGAACAGCTTTTGGGGCGGCCCTCACAAGCAGCCAAGGCTGACAAGCACGGCCCTGAAATACCTTGGTGTTTAAACCTATGTCTGAATCAGGCTTTTTGGTTTTGTTTTTTGTTTTGTTTTTTAATATATTTTTTAGTGATTTTAGAGAGCAAGGGAAGAGAGAGGGAAACATCCATGATGAGAGAGAATCATGGATCGGCTGCCTCCTGCACGCCCCCGCCCCCTCCCCCCGCCCCCCCCCCCCCCCCGACTGGGGATGGAGCCCACAACCCAGGCATGTGCCCTTGACCGCAATCAAACCCGGGACCCTCCAGTCCGTAGGCTGACGCTCTGCCCACTGAGCCAAACCGGCTAGAGCTGTTTTGCTTTTTTTTAAATTTTTCAAAATGAAGGGAAGGGAAGGATGGTGGTCGGTGCCCTTTCGGCCGCTGGTTTTGAGTGTGGCCTAGCAATGAGCACCCTGGCGTCCTCCAACCATTTCGCCGGGCTGTGAGGACCCCTCTGCACGGTGGTTCTGTGAATGCCATGTTGGAACGTCTGACAATTCCCAAGCGTTGGTTTCTGTGCTGAAGCCATACTTTTTTATTTTTTAAAAAATATATTTTATTGCTATTTTACAGAGAGGAAGGGAAAGGAGATAAGAGAGCTAGAAACATCGATGAGAGAGAAACATCGATCAGCTGCCTCTTGCACACTAACCCCTACCGGGGATGTGCCCGCAACCAAGGTACATGCCCTTGACCGGAATCGAACCTGGGACCTTTCAGTCTGCAGACCAACGCTCTACCGCTGAGCCAAACCGGTTTTGGCTGAAGTAATACTTTAAATGTTGTTTGTTTTCAATTTGATTCCTTTCTAGGAGACACACCGCTGCCCCAAGTTTCCAGGGCATCCCCATGGACTCTGCCCGATGTAAACTGACAAAAAAAAAAAAAGAGGGCTCTTACTATTGTTTTCAGATCGTCCGCCAAAGGCCCCGCACCGCCTCCACCGAAGCGCCCGCTCAGCTTGGGCTGCACCCACCCAAGGAGTCCAACGAGGTCCCCGGGCAAAGCAACTTTTTCCGAGCCCCCCTCCCCTCCCCCTTTTTATCCAAGAATTCCAAAACCTACAGGCGTAAGACCTGGGGACGATAGAAAGTTGCCACGAAAAAGAAATAATAATAATAAAAAACCACAAACGAGGAGCTGCTGAGCCGGGAGACCCGGGGTTCCTCCCAAATGTAACCAGCAGAGAAGCCGCGGCTCCTGGAGCCGGGGTGTGTGGCAGACGCTCCCCCCGGGCCGGCGCGGGGTTCGGAAGATGGATGGATGGATGGGGGTTTGCACAGGGGCGCCGGGAGGACCCCCCAAACCGGCCGCGGGGATGGCGGGGGGCGGCGGCGCTGGGGCGGGCGGGACAGCGGCGGACGCGGCCTGGCCCCCGGGCTGGTGGGGAGCCCCCGGCTGCGGGCCGAGCCCGGGACCCCGGAGGTCGGGCGGAGGCGCGGGAGGCGGGCGCGGCCGCGGGAAGCCGCCCCCCGCCGGGAGGACCCCGCCGCCCGCCATCCCCGCGGGCGCGTCAGAGGCTGCGGGCGGCGGGCGCGGCGCTGACAGCTCCGCGGGCGGCGGGCGGCGGGCGGCCCGGGGCGGCGGGCGCGGCGCAGGCCTGGCCGCTGGGGACCGGCCGCTCCTCCCGCCGCCGGAGCCGCGGCCCCGCAGGCGCGCGCCGTTACCTTGTCGCAGTACAGCCCCACCAGCTGCTTCATCCGCCAGTGCGGGGCGGTGAACACGTCCACCTCCTCGGGAAAGGGCGCCATCGCCGCTGCCGCCTCAGCCCCAGCCTCCGCCTCAGCAGCCGCGGCGGCCGCCTCGCCATAGACTCCCTCGCCGCGGGCAGAGGCGGCGCGCCCCCCTGCGCATGCGCCCGCCCCGTCGGCGCGCGCGCCCGGGAGGCCCGGCGGCGGGGGCGCGCGGGCCGGCGCCATGCGGGGCCCCCCCCCCGCCCACGTGACCGGCGCATGGCGCGGGCCGAGCGCCCACCTCACCTCCCTCCTTCGCCCTATGCGGTCCGTACCCGCTTCGCGGGTCTCCAAAGGGAACCCAGGCTCGTCCTTGTTTGTTTTGCAAAGGAAGACGCATCCTCTGGGGAGACGGGGTGTCGTTTTTTAGGGGCGCTCTCGGCGCATCGCTCACCCATATGGCGCCCAGCAGACCCTGAGGCCAAGGCAGCCACGCACCATGGTGGCCGCAGGACAGGGAGCGCTGCGCGCCCGCCTGGGCCCTGATGCCCGTATACCAGGGTTACTGCTGTGCGGGACCGGCCCTCCTGTGTGCCAGGGGGACCGTGCTGTGCGGGGCCCAGCCCTCCTGTGTGCCAGGGTGACTGAGCTGTGCAGGGCCCAGGCCTCCTGTGTGCCAGGGGACCGTGCTGTGCGGGGCCCAGGCCTCCTGTGTGCCAGGGGGACCGTGCTGTGCGGGGCCCAGGCCTCTTGTGTGCCGGGGGAACCATGCCATGCGGGGCCCAGCCCTCCTAGTGCCAGGGTGACTGAGCTGTGCAGGACCCAGGCCTCCTGTGTGCTAGGGGGACCGTGCTGTGCAGGGCCCGGCCCTCCTGAGCTGCCCTTTACCTCCTGCCATTCCCAAGTGTGGGTCTCCTCCAGCCGGGGCTGACCTCCCAGTGGCCAGTCATAGACCCTAGTGACTCCAGCAGGCAGCTCAGGGCACGTGCGTGGGTCTGGGGTCAGGGCAGGGTTCAAGGCGCTGGGCATCAGCATTACATCTCCTCTGGGGCAGGAGGGAGGGAAAGGCCTTGGAATTCTGGAGGCTACAAGAAAGGGAAAATTTCAGGGCACTGAGGAGTTAGGAAGGCGCCTCAAGCACTGGAATGGCAGGTCAGGGATGTCAGAGAGGCCTTGGGCGGTGGGGGATGGGAGGAGTCACAGGAGAGCAGTGCAGTTGAGAACCTTGAGGCATGTCCATTTTTTTTTTTTTTTTAATGAACAGCCCTTGTGGCATGCACATTTCTTTTTTGTTTTTTTAAAATATATTTTATTGATTTTTTTACAGAGAGGAAGGGAGATAGATAGCCAGAAAGGTCGGTGAGAAACATCGACCAGCTGCCTCTTGCACACCCCCTACCAGGGATGTGCCCGCAACCAACGTACATGCCCTTGACCGGAATCGAACCCGGGACCTTTCAGTCCGCAGACCGACACTCTACCACTGAGCCAAACCGGCTTTGGCTGAGGTATGTTCATTTTAAACGGCAGCTCAGAGAGCAAGGAGCCTTAGGGAGATTCCTGTTGTCAACTTAAGCAAAGTTCAAATCACTGAAGTTTTGTGAGTTTATTTGAGTCAAGCTGTGGACAAGTGCTGGAAAGCAGAATATCAGCAGATGGAGGAAATGCTGGAGAGTGGCAGGTTTGCACCTGTAGTACACAATACAGCCAAAAGAGAAGATGTAAGTGGGTGACATGGAATCCGTTGGCCGTGGATTAGGGAGGTGGAAGAAAGCAAAGCCCGGGGACCTCTGGGAGTGGATAAAAAGTAAAATGATAGGCACATACTTCTTTCACTAGGCGGCTTTAGGATAGTTAAGTCAATAATTAACTCAGTAACAATGAGGGGATTTGTGGTCTCCGCAAGAGTAGTGCCTGCACGGTGAGGGGTCTGGAGAAAAGGAAAAGTACTTTCACAATCCAAAAATATGCTAGTGTCGATGCAAAAAGGCTATAGACAGACTCAATTAAGGTAAAGATTGGCCTTTGCCAGGGAAGATACCAGCCTAGGACATGACTACCCACCATAAGCTGCTTTTAGTTTTAAAAAGTTTTAATTTCAGACCACCCTTTGGGTTTCCCGTAGGTCTGAGTTTGTGAGCCTGCCATGCAGCCTTCCCCGAGCTGGTCAGGTTAGCAAGGGGCCTATTCTCACCCACATTGCTGAAAGAAACCTCTATGCCTGTCTCCCACAGGTCACCTGTCCCTACCCCAGACCAGGAAACCCCGTTTATGGGCACCATTTCTTACCTGAAAGGGGACCTGGCCCAGCCAAGGTGTGCTAGTGCTGCTGGTAGCGTGTGGGTTCTCGACTTTCTGAGGGAAAATTTCACAACAGGAGACCTGGTGATGCTGAGAGGAAGTCTATTGAAGTTGGGGAGAGTGAAACAAGGAAGAGTGTAGGATAGAAGAAGTAACAGAAGAATGGCGAGGTGGGGCTGCTTTGTCTAGAAATGTTACAGCAAAGAAAATGAGCAGAGGAGGGGCTGCTTTAGCTCACTGGGAAGTCAGAAAAGGGACGTTGGAGGCAGGTTTTAGGGGTTCGCTAGGGACCAGCTGCCACTGCCCATTGTTCTAGTTGTAAAAGGGGTCCCTTAAAGTGTAAGAGATGCACACTTGGGGAAGGGGCACAAGGACACATATGTAATACCTTAATAAAGAAAATTTTTAAAAAAGAGAGAGACACACTTGTGGGAGAGGATGAGGGGGGAGGGGAAAGGTTAGAGCCCTTTGTCTTAGGGCTTTTATCTCTCTTTTGCAGGGTAGTGGGAATTCTGGGGAGGTCTCAGCAGAGGGTTTCAGCAGAATATTCATCAGTTTTCCAGAGGTGACCTTTAGGGTTGCGGTCTCCCCTGATTGGTCAGCACCATTGCAGCCGGTCCTGGCACCTTCCACCTGGTTTGGCTGCTTTTCTGGGCCTGGAGCTGAAATATAACTGAGGCCTAGATGTTATCTCTAGGGACATGACCTTCTGTATCTGGCTTCAGCCAGTGTGTTCAGCTGTCTGTTTCCCCATATTGCTTGCCAAGGAATTTTTCTAGCTTCTTACTATCCTGCCTCACATTTACCCTGATCAACTCTCCACTGGTTGGCTGGAGGACCAATGTGTACACACACACACACACACACACACACACACACACACACACATACACACACACAAGGGGGTGGGGGGAGAAAGCAGGAAAGGCTAAGAGCCTGGGAAGGGTTATGTTACTTGCTTCACGATGGGTAAAGAGTGAAGAAATATAATGGAGTCACTATATTGAAGTGGGACTCTGTGTGTTTGGTTGACAATGACCATAAACTTGAGAAGGGCAAGAACCAGACATGTTCTGTTCACCTCTTTTATGCCTGTTACCCATTACAGTTCCATGACACCATAGGGGTTTGATCAGTATTCTGGTTTTGCCAGGTACTACTTGTATGACCTTTGGTAAGCTACGTGACTTCTCTGGGCCTCAGGTTCCTCATGCATAAAATAATTACTATGGACTAACCCTGAAGAGGGCCCTCAACCATGCTGGCATCCTGATCTTGGACTTCAAACATCCAAAACTATAAGAAATAAATGTCAGTTGTTTATGAGAGCCCCAGTCTAAGCTGGCTCAGACAAATACTTATCTTATAGAATTGCGGTAAGGATTAAGAGAGTGCATTTATATCTGTCCCCCACAGGTCACCTGGTCCCTACCCAGCCCTCCAGACCAGTGTACTACTTATACTAGTACCTGGGACATGGTAAGTACTGTCTGTCTGCTCTCATTATTTTTACTTTATTTTATTGATTTTTAGAGAGAGAGGGAGAGAGAGAAATGTCAATTTCAGAGCACGACATCAGCAGCTGCCTCCTGTACTCTCCCTACCTGAGATTGAGCCCACAACCCAGGCATGTGCCCTGACCAGGAATCAAACCAGCCCAACCACTGAGCCACACTGGCCAGGGTTAACTAACTTTTAATAGACAGTGTTTTATTTCCCAATGCCTGTCTGTGTCTGTGTTGTTTGTCTGTGTACCCCCCATAACTAGGCACATGAGATAGGCATTGAACAACCAAAAATCCATGAACAGTTTCCCTGTAATCCAGAATTTGAAGCTGTGTAGTCAGCTGAATAATAAAAACAGCCACTTTGGACTCTGGCCATTTCAGGGAATTACTTTAAGATGACAAAATGAAAAAATAATAAAGTAATAAATTATAAGTCCTATGGGTCATTCTTCCCTATGCAAGAAGCTATGAACATCACTTCCATATGCTGAGTAATGTAGCAATTAATAACCTGATACATCCAGACAAATGATTGATTTACATTAAACTTTACCCCCAGAAAAAAAAGACATTGATCAATTTAGTGTCATCATTGTAGGTTATTGCAACTACAGCAGGTCAGGAATTATTGAGGCCAAGGTTGTTGGTTTAATCACCTCCCTAGGATTCCTTCTGGTTTAGAAGAGCAAAGAAATTCTAACTGACCACCTAGTTACTGGCCAAGGAGACTGGATAAAGCATATGAATGGAGCAGTGAAAATCTGCACTATTATAATGAGTGCTTGGAGGACATGTGGTTTCTTCTTTCTCATTCTCTCAGAAAAACTGCATGCTACCAGGAAAACAAAAGATGCCCAGTCATTCCCTGGTGACCTAAAAATAGGATGCTAGGTCACTTCTTTAGTGTTTTTTAATCCTAGCTGGAGAGCAGTGGAAAGGGTTACTGGTCAGGGAAAGTCATCTCCAAGACATTGAACTCTGTTTATTTGAGTGTGTGACTCAGCACTTTCCCCAACAGGGGGTTAGTTGTGAAAACAAGCAATGAAAGAATGTTGCTATTGTAAAACAGCTGGAATTCCATTCCTAACTCCTACCAGAGTTAATCCTCCCTGTCAGTCAAAATAGCCAATCAACAAGGGTTACAGAATTAGCAGGAAAGCTTTTGGTAGGGATGATGGCATTATTAAAAGATAGGCACTGAGTTAAAATGCCAAGCCAGATGTTACTTTTTTCTTTTCATTTCTCAAATTTTTGACAAAAAATTTCCCA